TTTTTTAATACTAATATTTTTATAGAATAAAAAATAATATTTGTAATAATATATATTTATAATAAGATAATTAAAAAAGTTAGAATAAAAAGGAAAAAGACAACAAAAAGATAACAAAAAGTGAAATGATTACATAGTTTTAGGGGTGCCATTGGTATAAAAGATGTCATTAGTCTTCCTTTTTTTTAATGATTTTTATTATAGAATTAAGTCAAATCATATATTAAAAATATAAAAAATAAATTTTAATATTGATGTGTTTAGGGAGGAAATCAATAGGAACGATCGCATTGAACAATATAATGTATTTATTTAATAAATATAACGTGTATTTAGTCCAACTTTTTTTTAGATATTTAGACTTTTAAAAAACCGTTGACTTCTTTTTATGTATGTTTTCGAAATATCTCATAAGTTCTAAGATTACTCTATACATACAATATGATAACTTGAGTTTTTATGTTTAATGTTGTCTTAAATATCATATATATATATATATATATATATATATATATATATATATATTTCAGATATGCTTAATATCATGGGCGGACCTACCATGGTGGTTATGGTGGCACGTGCCACCGTATTATTTCTCTGTCAAAAGGTAAAAAAATTTAGGTTCGTGAAATGTGCAACCGTATTAATCTGTTGTGTGCCATTTTGAAACTACAATGAGAACAAGTTTTATTTGGTAGAGTTGGTTTGCAAGGTTTTTATTCCACTCCAGACCTAAATTCAAATCTTGTTAGTGTCATTTTCTTAGTCAAATAGTGCCACCGATTGAAAAAAAATTCCGTATATTTATTTCTTATAGTCAACCGCTGTCAATGTTTGAAAGTTTTTTCCTATAGTTTTTTCTTATAGTCAAATGATGTCACCATTTGAAAAAAGTTATGGGTCCATTCCTGCTTGATATATTATTTATTTTTCATTAATTACTCTCTCTCTCTCTCTCTCTCTCAACCTACTTTAAAAGCCCATTGATGCATGCAATTGGAATTTGGAAAACACTCGTTGGACCTATCAATAATACGATTACCGAATATTTTTCAGGGTTTTTGTTGGTGGCAGGAACAATATCGGACGACAAATGACATCATGTAGTAAACTATTCCAAAAGTGTTAGCATTCTTAGGTTTTCAGAACATGTACCGGATGAGTTTTATCTACAGTGGTGGTCAAAAGACGATGGCAAATCGGTTGGGCATATCGAATTTGAGATGTTTTATATATGCATACCGAAAATTCTACAAGTTATTTGAATGGGATCAATTTCACTCGAGACTCGATGCATGCAAGTTCGAAACCAAAACTAATAATGCATGCTAGCTAGGTAAATGCATCTCAAACATTCTGAGATGACACACATGACTCGTATAAAGATGCATTCATGAGTTCAATGGACCAGTCCTTTTTTGTAGAGTTTCCATGCCGACGAAATTGCTATTTTGTAAGTATCGATTTAACTTACATGTCCAAGAAGATTGTCATCGTGATCTTCATGATAGAATTCTCTGTTTTTCTTTCCACTCACCATCTCCAACACCAAAAGACAAAAGCTAAGTACATCTGACTTTACAGAGAATTGTCCATGTACAGATGTACTGCATACTCAAGAGAAATGTAACCACTGTAGTAAAGTTAAAAATTAAATTGACAAGGTTATCGTTAGGGTCTTCTTTTTCCTTTTTACTAGGGAAAAACAAGCAATTAAATGAATCTATAGTAGACCATGGTTTTAGATTCTTACTATGTTCCGACCACTTTCTTAGTCTTAGCAGCATTAGCCGTTCCTACAAACTTTCTAGCAAGTCCAAAGTCGGATACTTTTGCGTTCATGTCATCGTCCAGCAGAATATTACTTGCTTTGAGATCTCTATCGATGATTTGAAGGCGGGAATCTTGATGTAGATAAAGAATGCCTCTTGCAATCCCATGGATAATGCTAAAGCGCCGAGGCCATTCAAGCATTGAACTTCTGGTATCATCTATTAGAAATCCCTTCATTAGTTGATTTCTACCGATTTATTCATAATTTGGCAAGAAATTTAACATCACTACTTCATAAATTGTGGAGTAAGGTACCATGTTTAGTGAAATCAGTGTCAAACCAAATAGAAACGAATAGTGACGGATTTTGGCCTAGTGGGGGCATATTTAAGGTAGATTAAAGGCCTGTAAAGTTGTCTGGTATATTTTTAGCATAATTCCATCGTTTCAAGAGATTTTTAAAGTTTTTTTTGTTGATTTTGAAGAGATTTTTAAGGTTTTTTGGTTGATTTTTTCTAGGGCTTTTTGGGTTTTTTTTAGTTGATTTCAAGTTAATTTTTTGGTTGGTGGAGACGCAGGCCAAAAATTACTAAGAGGAACTACGGTAGAAAGTTAAAAAGAAAAAAATGGTTTTTAAATTTTAACCCAAATAATTGAGAATTCTTTCTTTCAACGGGGGCCATCCCCCACCATTTGTATGCTACATCCGACCCTGGAAACAAGTCCGTTAGCCATGTATTCATAAATCAAAATCATTTCAATTCTTAGAATAAATCCCAAAAACCTTGTCCGGATTGCTAATCCAGACAATACCATTCATATTCGTCCGATTTAACAATCCGGGTGAATGCGGTATCCAAGAAGCTTCACAAAAGATTCTGGTGCTGAAGTTTTGCAATTCAAATGACTTCATTCTTGAACTCATGGAGCCCTTGTTGGGATGTTTCCAAGATGTCATGGTCCACTCTCTTCCTGTCACCAAATTCTTCCCAAACCTCATCCCATTCCTGGTTGCCAAATTAGATCTGGGTTGGTGCTACGTTTATCCCACACAAGAAGATTTCCGGTATCAAGAAGCCGTGCCACTGGATTAACGTATATATATATAGAGAGAGAGAGAGGAGAGAGAAAGATTGAGGAAAACCTCCTAGAAAATGAAAAACTGAGTAACACCCGATAACCATTCATCTGGCTGGTAATTGAAGTTGTTTTTTGGTTTTTATGCATGTGTGCATGTTGTGCACACGTGCATACCGGAATTAGTTATAAATTATTTGTATGCACATGAGTGTTCCTCAGTTTTTCATTTTTTTGTTGTTTTCCTCTAAAACTGATCATATATATGGAACAGTCCACACAGGTGTTTCTACTTTCCACATCTGGCATAAACATTTGCTTCTATCTAGCATACAATAGTGTTATCATGTATTCATCAAGTGATGGTGCAACGTCGCAACTCTCTTCGGTGAAAAAGGCAGGTTGTTTAGGTGGAGGCAACACACCCTCGCTAACCAACATTAAAACCACGGACATCATAGTCGGTCTATCTTCGGCATGATGTTGCACGCACAATAATCCAACATGTATTGATCGGAGTACTTCAGAGATAACACATGAGTTGCGTAAAGATGGGCTCATGATTTCGATGGATCGGTCTTCTCTATAGAGTCTCCACGCCTGACTCAAACCAAAATACATAATAAGTATGCTAAGAGAATACTACTTAATTCTCCAGATACCGAGCTTTAGTCTACCAGCTTAACTTACATGTCCAAGAAGGTTGTCACTGTGATCTTCATGAGAAAACCCTCTGTTCTTCTTCCCACTCACCATCTCGAGCACAAGAACACCGAAGCTAAATACATCCGACTTTACAGAGAAACGCCCGTGTACTGCATACTCGGGAGAAATGTAACCACTGCACCAAAGTTCAACGACCATTTAGCACTAGAGTTTTTGTTTGTTTGTTTACTTTCCCTTTTTTGGAAAACAAGTGTTAACGTTAATTTATTGATCCTTACTAAGTTCCGACCACTTTTTTTGTCCTAGCCTCGGCATCCTGTCCTACAAACTTTCGAGCGAGGCCAAAGTCGGATATTTTTGGATTCATATCACCGTCCAGCAAAATATTACCTGCCTTGAGATCTCTATGAATGATTTGAAGGCGGGAATCTTGATGTAGGTAAAGAATACCTCGAGCCATACCATGGATAATGCAAAAGCGTTGAGGCCAGTCAAGCATTGAACTTCTGATTTCATCTGCGCAATATGAACTGCTTAGTCCATGTATACAGCCGATCTGCTTATGAATTACGCAGGAAATTCTACAGCATCAATTGCTAGAAGAAGTTTGAAAGTAAGACACTAGAGAGAATCAAACCAAACAGAAACGAGTCCAAGCTTTTGTTAGCCATGTATTCATAAATCAATATCATTTCATTTCCATGAATGCAGTATCCAAGAAGCTTCACAAGATTCCGGTGCTGAAGTTTTGCAATACAGATGACTTCATTCTTGAACTCATCAAGCCCTTGTTGTGATGTTTCCGAGAGCCGCTTCACAGCTACTTCTTGTCCATCTTCCAGTACACCCTAAACGATTAAGGTCAAGAGCTTAGATTACTTACAATTCTATTCATTATTCAAGTCTCATAAGTTACCTTGTAAACAGGACCAAATCCACCTTCTCCAATCTTATTATCAATGCTGAAGTTATCAGTAGCCTTAGCTACTTTATACAAGCTGAAAAATGGTAGTTCATCAAGGTTATCCATCTGAGCACTGCGGGTGTGATCCTTCTTATCGAGGGCATGCGCCCATTTTCCTACAAAAGGATATATATGTAATATGTTCAGTTTCTATTGAGTGCATGCATCTGTTAAAGAATACACTCATAAACTTGCATTTCATAATGATGCTTGCTACTGTTTTCTCTCTAAAAGTGGAAAATGACTACCTCCTTTGTAGCGCCTTCTCTTTTTCTTTCTGCAGGCATATGCTACAGCAGACAAAAGCAGTGCAGCTGAGGAAAGTGGCAGGATCAGGGTGAGTGCTGCTTTCTTCTTGTTGTGGCCTTGTGTTAATGATTATAATCATTAGTAAAAAAATTTGTATGTTCAACAGGTTTTAGCACATAAATGGATCAGCTAGGAAGTCCGATTTAAGCTAAGGTAATACCGTTTCTCTGGACTTGTGACTGTTTTCGATCAAAAGGTATGTACCTGATAACTCAGAGGCTGCCGTTCTTATGTATATGTTATGATCTACATCATACTCTCCTATATCCATCAGTTCGTCAAACCATAACAAACATCCACTTCCGCCATTTCTGATGTTTAAATTTGCGTAAGCCGTACAAGAGCAGTTCTTTCTGCAGGCCGTCTCGCATTCTTCAAGGGTCATGCTCATATTGTACCATGAACGTCTTGTGTCAGGAAATTTTACTCCAGAAAGTTTCCTAAAGCCATCCCCACTTCCACAATCGAAAGGCTTTTTATGTTGACACCCACTCGACCAATCAGATCCATTCCATTCTTCTGGAAATTTTGGTTCAAACCCTTCCATACAACTACAAGGTGGATGCTTGTTGAGGGTACAGGTTCCAAAGGGACCGCAGAGTGCATAACGACCACAAGCATCTGCTGCAATATCGTCATACACAACCCAGTTTTGGATTCGGTCGATCCAATGTAAAATCAGGGTCTTGCCATCCCATGTCAAAACCATCCTCCGAAGAACTGAACTTGTAAGTTCATATTTGTGATATATTTCATTGTGATTAACAACAAACTCGGTCGAGTAAATTGGATTTGGTATGTCAGGAGCACAACCACCATACCCGAGCCCATTCCATGGTCCAAGTCTCGTTAGTAGAACTGGACCTCGCTTACCAACTATTTGTGGATATCCATTTGTATCTATCATATTCTGATACTTACCAAGAGAAGGATCATCAGGACTCTTCCAAGATGTCATGATCCATTCTCTTCCCGTCACCAAATTCTTCCCAAACTTCATTCCGGGTAGCAATGTGTCACCAGGGTAATCAAAACTTTGCCAAATCAGATTTCGGTTGGTGCTACTTTTATCCCAGACAAGAAGATTTCCGGTGTCAATAAGCTGTGCCACCGGATTAATGACGGATCCCGTGGAATTGGAAGACCAGATGAGGTTATTGCCACCATCAAGAATCAACAGGTTTCCATCTCCGGTAAGTTTGAGCATGGCGGATGTATCAGTGATTGGTGTCTCCCTGTTAGCAACCCAGACGATGGTAGATTTTGCTTTCTTGTACCATATCCCCAAGAACCTTTTCTTGGAGTTTCCAGGGCTAAAAAAGCCAAGTTCGTAGACCTGACCAGGTGAAGCAATAGTAGTTTTGCCATCTTGGATTTTGGTATTTGCAGGTATGGTGTGTAGTGCAACAGAAGAAGAAGCTATAGCACCTGAGAATAGCAGCAGAATCATGAAAGAAACCTCCATTTTTGTTTTTATTTTATTTTTTGTTGGTGTGTTTGGGTGATGAAAATGGTATGTATGTATGTATGATATGTGATAAATTGGTTGAAGACATGTTTTGATCTACGCGTTTTGAAAATCTGCTCTTCTTCCATTTGGAAAATATAAGTTTCATTCACATTTGACCAAGAGGATTTGTTGTCAAAAGCCTCGTCTTTGAATACAAAAAAAGGGTTGTGGTGTTGTATATTATTCTGGAATATCTCATTTGATCAGGGTTTTATTCTAGATGTATATAACAATGGTGGCTATTTAATTCATCATGACTGGTTTCTTACAGTCATAATTTATCAGGATTAGTTTCCAGTAAAAAGGTAAAAAAAACTAACCAACTTTTCATTTTGAATGGTTTGATTCCAAAACTTTCTTTGAAATAAAAATAAAATTAAACTTTCACATTATAAATGATTAAGTCCCTGAATTTTTTTCAAATAAATAAATATTCGAACTTTTAGAAATTGGTTACCGACATTCTTTTAACCCAAAATAGTTACTTGAAATCGGCTAAAGAAAGTTTTAAAGTAAAAAACAATTAAATTAGTTATACCATTCTCAACCTTATGTCATTCAAACCACTCATCGCCTTATCGTCGTCTAGGCATGGGAATGTGACCCTCCCCATTGGGGAACCAGACACGTACGCCCCGTGGCTCAGGGATTCTTTGCAAAACCAGGGACTGACTGAAGATGAGGATCCCCAAAAGTTAAAAACCAGGTTTAGGAACGAGGCCAGACAACGTGATCCCCACCCCGCCTCTCACCCATATATTAAATCTATAATATATTTAATACTAAATATCTCAGTAAATTTTAAAAAAGCATTTTGACTTTTTTCTATATACAGGTTTTCTAACATGTCTTACATGTTCAAATAAAGGATAAAGAGTCAAAAACATTTGATCAAACAATTACATATAATATGTTTTTATTCACATATTAATATTTGATAGTCCATAAAAGCAACGGTTGGATTTTTAATGGTTTTTACACTCAAAAAAATAGTTTAACGACTTGATTTGACCATAAAAAAAAAACTCGTCGGACTTTCTGAATTTTCTTTCCTTAAAAAATTGTTAAGAACATATACTTAATCTAAAAAGAAGTACTCTTTTTAATAATAATAAAAAAAAAAAAACGAATTCAAAGATACACATGACAAACTATTAGCTAGTTGATGAGGTAATAGCTTACCGAGGCAATTATCAGTCAAAGAATAAAAAAACATACATCATCATCTTTTAAAGATAATACAACCTATAAAAACTATTATAAAATATATAGTGCTTTAAAAAAGTAATTTATAACTAATATTCGACCAAATTAGAAAGTTCAATACTTTAATCTAGAATAGATAAAATTGACTCCGTACCTAACTTACTATTTTGGTCCATAAACTTTATGAAATGCTTGAAAGCGTAAACGGTCATTTGGGCCATCGCCCATCGGCTTAGACCTTTTTTACGTGGAATATTTTATTCAAACTACAACTACAAGAGGACAACACTTGGTATATAGAGAATAGTGATGTTTGATATAAAAGTGAATGAACAAGTGTCTGAATGATTAAGACAATGCACTTAGAAGATAAGAAGAATACGCTGAAGGTGTAGAAACATGTATTAACTGTGAATCTATTTTGGCAACAAAACAAAACAACTCTTTATCATCTTTCCTGGTTTTGTTGAGTGTCGACGTTAACCAACGCTTTTAATTCTTCTGAACCATTTCTACCATCGTCTTTCTGCAACAACACCACCACGCCATCAGCTGAATTGAACTTTTAACGGTAGGTTATGCAATTTTCATGGACGGTAAAAGGGGAAAATGTCACGGTAATGGAAGATATCTCTACTTTGTTTACTTTTCTAGTTATTAGGTACTTTAGGTAAGATCAAAAAGCAAGTTCAAATTACGGTATAGGTTCATGGCTACCACAAAGAAATCGACATCCGAGCTATCAGCTATAAAATAACAGATAAATATTTAGTAAGCGAACGTAAAAGATTCAGTGGATCATAAGCTGTATGACCTTAAATGGAAAATTACGATAAGAAAGCATGGTATGAACAGACTGATTTGCGTTCAGTATTACCTTGGTGGCTAGACCTTGAGCCGCCATGAGATCATAAAACGCACGCATTAGCATTTCTTCCTCAACCTACAAAAAACTTATAAACCCCATTAATACTCAACTCTTCAATATAATCAAGTGCTTCCAATAAAATCTAGATGCAATTTTCTTCCTGTTTACTCTCTGTGGTTTCCAAATAACCTTCAAATGCAGCGGCAGACTCAGGAATTTTTCCTGAGCGGATGCACCTTAAAGATGGATCAAGGGTCCACAAAGTAGTGGTTTGACTTGGGAAAAAGTCAACTGTGTCAATTTGGATAATAAAATACATTTTTCAAATGAAATCGACCTTGCCTATAAAATAAATATACATTGCTTTGAAAACGAGATAAAAACCAGCAACTTTTAAGATGAATTTGCATTGAAAAAGAAAATAGATCATGAAGAAAGTAATGAAGACAAAATAGGAGAAAAATAAACAAAAAGTTGGCCGGTTGTAGTGGTAGTTATGTCTATAATTGAGTTCGATCCTTGTAGACTGTAGCTGCATCTTTCCTGTTAAAGTAATAACATTGTAGGCACGGGCCAGCCAGAGCCGAAATTTAAAAGATGAAACTAAACATTGGTTAGATGTAAAAATTGAACCTACAACCTATCGTAAGTCACGATTTAATCTAACTATCTAAACCATCGCACCCATGTTTTTTATAAGTTTGGTTTCAGATATTTGAGAGCACCCTCCAAAATCAAGCGGGTGCATCTTTCAAACGTCTAATATGTTTCTCTTACAATAATTGAGTGAGCAGGAGCCCGCTCAGCCCTTAATAGGTCCGCCCTATTCAAGTGTGTGCATAAGAGGAGAGTGTTTCAGTAGTAGCAACGAAAACTGCTGAAAGTATACATCTGATCTAACTTTGTTTACAAAAGCAAGTTGAACCAAAACTAGCCAATGGTCAAGATATTTTTATAAACTTGTGTAAAATCAAACGTTTCATTGAGAGGGGGAGTGATAAATAACCATAAATGTAACAAATGCATCACCTGAAGTTTATGCAATTCATGCGACATTGATCTATAAGCATCCATGAGAAGTTCATCCTGCTTCTCCAAGTGCCTGCACATAAAACAAGAATATTATGTACTGCGAGTCGCTTAAGGGAAAAAAATATTTCAGCAAAGATTACCTTAGCATTTCTCCCGTGTATTTAGGGTCCATTATGTTGCAGCAATTCTATTTGATATCCCAAAAGTCTAGCCTCAAATCTTAGCCAACCGTCAAACGCAGGTTCTTAAAGAATGAAGCTTCTGAAAATTAGGGACAATGGTCAGGCATTGTTGACTAAATCATTTTAAATTAACCTGCTTATTTAAAAAGCTGGGTCAGAAGAACCATTATACGGCAAAACATTCCAATGAGAGCAAAACAGGAACTTTTATATGGTTCAGAAACTCTTGACGGAAATTGATCATAGCTACTCCACGACAACAACTATTATTACTTACAGTTTCTTTCTCTCTCTCTTAAGATTATGGAACTTCCCCTTAACCAATATACACAGGGTACCCCTACGAGATCACAAGAGAACAAGATTGAAAGTGCTAACACACTAATCTCAAGAAATTTATTCATACTAAACAACCGACTGCCATATTCTAATCTCACAAGCTGTCATCTAACTACAAACCAACTGTTGGCTCGGACCAACAATCAACACATACTCTTGCAAATTGCATTTAACAGCAACGTTTTAAGAACTTTAAACTCATTTAACCGTCGTGCTAATATAAATCAATTGGTTATCCGTTTTAAAATTCCGAAGGCAGGGTACTTATTGTAAATGTCAGCTTACACAGTTCATCCATTTGGTTCAACTTACTGATTCAGATACGGCCTGGAACAAGTCACTCAAAGGTGCAGTAACCAGTTCAAGGGCCTTGTGTCTAAATTTATACAAAAACTTGACACTTTTATAAGCATAAAATAGGATGATCTCGGCTAATATTTGCTCAAGTATATGGGAATTCAAAACAACTGTTACACTTGTTTTCACATTACCCATTGCATTTTTAACAGACCAAAACCACATAATTTTTAACAGGGGTGGAGACAGAATTTACATTTATGGGAGCCTGGAATGTAATTATATAAATTCATAAACCTATTAATTTTCTTAAAGGGCTTTCACTAAATTTGGACAATTTCAAAGGCGAACCCAACAACTGATAATCAAATTTTGGCTGCAAAATTTATGGAAAATCCAATAACCACAACAATTGAACCCTAGTTCCTACTCTTTAACTCGGTCTTACACCAGATACCAAGATGAGACCGTGACAGTGTGTGAAAAGTGAAGCTTTGTGAAATTTTAGAAGCGCCAAGCATCAAGAAACAATTTTGAAGGGGCTTATGAACAAAACCCAACAAAAGCTTACCCAAAATGAGAGAGGCGATCGTCGATGGAAGACAGGCGGGTTCAGCGGGTGATGGCAGACAGGCGACAGCAGGTAGCTTTCAGCGGGAGCCTGGTGAGCGTCGTCTCGTTCTCGTCGATGAGGGTCCGAGGGAGCCTGGTGAACTGTGTCCGTTAGCGTCAATTCGTCAAATGTCAATGAAGAAAGCATATGGGCTATATTTTTAGTTTTATAGTATGGGCCTTTTTTTATTAATTGGGCTTCTTTTTAACTGGGGGAGCTCAGCCTATCTGGCGAAAATGGAGATATACGAAAAGAAGCCCGAAATTAGGTTCCAAGAAAGTGTGGGTTGATAAATGATTATCTGATAAACGATTACCGGCAACAGATATCATATTTATTTACTTTATAGTGTAACACTTTTGGTCATTTTAATGGATTGTTGGTAAGTATCTAAAACAGGGACGGACCTGTTAGGAGCTGAGTGGCATCCGCTCACTTAGTTATTGCAATAGAAAAAATTCAGTCGTCTGATAAGTGCACCCACTTGATTTGAGGGGTGCTCTCAAATACTTTGAAACCAAATTTATAAAATAAATTAAACATAGATGGATGGTTGGATTACAACTTTATATAAAAGATGTCACAAGACCAAATCTTTTAGGTGAAAATTTACCTTTTTATCTTTTAAATTTATTTTAAAAAATATTTACAGAGAAAATATAGTTAGAAGAATTGAATTCACAAACTCAAGTATAATTATAAGCATTTACTACTCTGTCAAAACTACTTTTTATTATTTTTTCTCTCATTTTGATTTTATTATTTTTTTTCATGATTTATTTTCCTTCCAATTATCAATTCATCATTTTTCATCTCACTTTTAGGGCAACACATTTATTTTAAGGATCAATGACGATTCCATTTGAAAAAAAATATATTTTATTCCTTAAATCGACACAATTGACTTTTCCCTTGGTGAAAACGGCGTTGAATTTCTCCGTAGGTCAAACCGAGATTTTACTGACTCTTAATCCACCTTAAAGGTGGACCTGCTCAAAGAAATTACACGGTCCACCACTGGTCTTAAATTTGGTAAATGCTTACTAGGTAATAGTCGTTTTCTTTATTTACTGAGTAAGACTACTGATCCTTGTTATGTCTCTTACCGGGTAAGATTATCGTTCTTTGTCATGCTTAAGGTAAGTGATAACGGTAAGTGCTTATTCAGTAAGGTTTAATAAACGACCTCTAGGTCTGAGTCTAATCTTGCCAACTTTTTTTTAAGAGACCCGATTAAAACCCAAAAAAACTTGGCTGAGTTTGGAAAACCCAGCCTGAAAAAGCCCGATTAGATCCTCTTTCAGACCTAAAGCATGGTCTAGACCCGATAAAGACGAGGCTTTTTTTAAGACGGGTTTTGGAAGGGTTGAGCCGACACCGAGAAATTCTAGCCCATGGGCATCTCTAAGCGGCAACTTTTGATTTTGTTTACAAATATGTATTTTTATGTTAGAACCATAAATTCACGTATTCATTATAGCTTACAACATACACCTACGTAACTAAATTGGAAAGAATCCTAAACTACTAACTAGAAGAAATCAGAAGAAAATAACGAATACTCAACTCATCATCAACTGAGATGATGGAAAGGGAGAAACTTAGCAGATAAGATGTTGATTCACGAGACGATTTGTGCAAATGAAGAAGAAGATGGTGTTTGACAAAGACAGATACAAAATTGCAGATTCTTAATGAAGAAGACATGTCTGTTTGGGGATTTGAGGGGATCAACAACTTATCATCTCTAACAAATTCTTTAAAATGAAGAAAATGCAGATTTTAGTTAAATTTGTGCTCCAACAAATCATCCAAAAACTTTCTCCAAGTTGGGAGAACTCCCAAAAGAAGAACTTTTTTATTATAATTTCATCGATAAGAAACTTTGTGGTAAATGTTAATGAGAGAGAAATAATATTTTTTATTACATGTGTAAAATATTTTAAAATGTAATTAATGTTTAATATCCAAAATAGAGATTTGTTGGAGTTGAATGCAATTTTTTTAAAGAATTGAAGTTTTGATTTTTTATTTTGGAGATTTGGAGATGCTCTTACAAACCTATCACACGTATAACCCATTCTACATGAATAACGATCGTGTAATAATAAGAGTTAGTATGAGAAGCGTAAGAAGAAATCTGGACTATTGATTACTTTTAATCTAATCCCCACCCTATGATTTGTAATTACGAGAATTGATCTGGTGCATCTTATTAATGTTGATCTTCAATTATGATTGACCAATTAGTGGAAGTCCATTTTTACCCTTCTCACTATAACTTTCATTATCACTGAAATCCACCTCATTTTACATTTGCTATTTCTTTCATTCCGTTTGAGAATATTACATGGCCCAAGTAAATCATACACACGGACCCACTTGACCTGTTTGTAAGATGAGATTAGTTTGCGGTGAGAAGAAAAGTTATTTTGGAAAGTGTAAGAAGATATCTTTATTATTGGATCCATCCTAATTGAATGTCAACACTAATAAGGTGTATCGAAATACACCAGATCATTTCCCTTCTAAAACGCAATTCATGAATAAACATGTGATTAAAAATTATCAAAAATTCAGATTACTTTTACGTTTTTCACGGTAACTTACTCCATATCACCCTCATCCCATACAATGAATGGATAAAGTATAGTTGAGGAACAAGTGGCAAAACCCAGATCCGTTCATGACCACAACCTCTGATTCCTCTTTCTCAATGCAAATAAACGTCAACCACCCAATTGACCTGAAAAAATCAGACCAGAAACTAAATTACAAGACTACCCCTCACCTGCCACGTAATCACTTGAATGGATTAACCTTCCACGTGGCCCAGTAACAGGCCAGTATCCCCCAACACATGGCCAATAACAATCTGCATTTGGATTTGCCTTGTAAAATCTCCTCCATATTAGTTGTATTGTAGCAGCCTCATCATCACCATTATTCATCCTCCACCACCACCACCACCACCACCACTTCTTTCCCTAAATCCTCCATTTCCATATCCCTTTTTTCTTCTGGAAATGGCTTCTAATACATTAATGAGCTGCGGCATCCCCGCCGTCGGCCGCCCTTCGCTTCTCTCTTCTTCCAAGTCAAGATTTGCAGCGGCTGTGCCTCTATCCGGTGTTGCCACCAATGCTTCTCGGATCTCCATGACAGCTGATTGGATGCCCGGTCAACCCCGACCACCATATCTAGATGGATCTGCACCCGGGTAACTATTATACTATCAAACTCTAAACTGTATCTGGTGCACTGCTAAATCCTAGCCTCCTAAAGGTCAAGGGTTCAAACTATGTCCATCAAGAATCTATTTCCACTATTATATGGAAACAAATCGTGCAACAGTTGAGTGTAAGAGCTATTTTTGGGTGTTTAATTTCAGGGATTTCGGATTTGACCCACTTCGTCTTGGTGAGGTCCCAGAGAACCTCGAGAGGTTCAAAGAGTCGGAGCTCATTCATTGCAGATGGGCTATGCTTGCAGTTGTAAGTCATCTATTGAACCATTCAAATCGGCATAAATTTGAAAACATACATTAACTTGTTAGAATATTGCAGCCAGGGATCTTGCTACCGGAAGCCTTAGGATTGGGCAATTGGGTAAAAGCACAAGAATGGGCTGCTCTTCCCGGAGGTCAAGCAACATACCTAGGGAACCCTGTTCCATGGGGTACCCTGCCCACCATTTTGGCGATCGAATTCATCTCCATTGCCTTCGTAGAGCACCAAAGGAGCATGGAAAAAGACCCAGAAAAGAAGAAGTACCCCGGTGGCGCTTTTGACCCATTGGGCTACTCAAAAGACCCCAAAGCATTTGCAGAGTACAAGGTCAAAGAGATAAAAAACGGTAATATTTTCGCTTAGTTAAACATGTATATTCATATATATGTATGTATGCATGCATAATGGGGTCTCTTGTATCTACCAAAATGGTCATACTGAACGTCAAGAGTTCAAGTTGTGAGTGAGTTTTGACGTATATAAATATTATATAATTCAATAATGAGGTATTTGGATTTGTTTTATAGGACGTTTAGCGTTGTTGGCATTTGTGGGATTTTGCGTGCAACAATCGGCTTACCCCGGTACCGGACCTTTGGAGAACTTGGCAACTCACTTGGCTGACCCATGGCACAACAACATTGGAGATGTCATTATTCCTAAAGGAATTTTCCCAAACTGAAATATGGGTTCCCAATGATCTCCAAATTCATATGTAAAATCCATGTAAACCCTTCATATTGTAATGAAATGAACTTATATATTAGTGTTGAATTGCTTTCTATCAATTTCAAAGTGTGTTGCAAATTCTAGTTACAAAATTCATGAATTCAAGTCTTAATTCATAAGATAAAAAAATATATGGGAGGTTATTACATCAAAGTTGATGATAAGTCATTCAGTGCTAAATGATTGTATAAATTTTGTGATATTAACCACTTTAAATTTAATAGTATAGATAACAAATATAGTTTTTATGGTTTTATTATTGCTTATGAAAACTGTTTATTGGTTTATTTCGTTGCGATACCGATAATAAGCAGTTTTTAGTGTTTGGATGGGGGAAGGAAAGATGCTTATATGAGTGTCAAACCGGTAATAAGAAGTTTTTGATAAATTACTCTCTTTTAACTTGTCAGATTCAACTTATTATGTTTGGAAACCAATTTACCTTTTTATCCCTCATATGCCTCCTTCCTTTAACCAAAAACTCTCCCAGACGTCTCTTTCCTCAGCAACCAGCTAATCAATGGACCTTCGACCATTCCTCGAAAATCGAACCAGATTTCTTCTTGTGATTTCTTCTTCATCAGTAGAAATCGATCGAGACCTTCACCTACAGAAATCGAAATCAAACCTTCGATTGAAACCTTCACTTACAGAAATTGATCAAAACCTTTACCTACAGAAATCGAAATCAAAACTTCGATTGAAACCTTCACCTATAGAATTCGATTAACACCTTCACCTATAGAAATCAGAATCAAACCTTCGATCTTCAACTAGTTCCTACAAAATAGAAAAGGGTTTAGGTTTCTTCCTTCAGTAATCACTTTCTGAAAAGGGTTTAGGGTTCTTTCTTACATAAGCGACCTTCAAACATAGTTCCTCCTTCCTCATGTCTTTTTTGGTCATTTTACATGTATAAGCAAAATTTACCAAACACTAAAAAAACAATTTATCAGCTTATTACGTTTCAGTACCGCTATAAGTTAATCCAAACACTTTTTTATAAAACTCCAGTTTAACACCACATAAGCTGATAAGCACTTTTACGAAAAAGCTTAAGTTGTTTTAAATAAGCAATCCTAAACACCCCTTAATATAAATAATAATAAATATTCTTATATACGGTCATTTAACAATGGTGTAATTTTACGTTTTTCGTCCTGTAAAATTAGCAGTTAGAAAGAAAGTAATGTTTAACAAGCATTTATGTTTCTGGAAGACCAAATTTTACTAAAACATTTCTTTTATATGTTTGTTAAAAATTATAGATATAAACTAAATGAAGGACTGATTTAAAAAATATAGCTATAATTAGAAATTAATCCAAATTATAAACTAAACTAAGGACTGATTTTGAAACATAGCTATAATTAGAAACTAGTCCAAATTATACACTAAACTAAGGACTGATTTAGACATATAGCTATAATTAGAAACTAATTAATCCAAGTTGTATATTAAACTAAGGACTGGTTTAGATATATAGCTATAATTAGAAACTAATCCAATACAGCGGTTAGGTTTTGATTCTATCTTAATTTTATTTTAAAGAGGTTACGTGAAACCAAAGACTTGAATCTTGACCTTTCAACAAACCAAAGACGAATTAACCACAGAGTTAATTAAATATGATTTAAATTAGAAAATATATTTTAATAAATAATTTTATATCACTACTTTACAATAAAATATTGCTTCTTGTTGTATTTGTAAACAACTAGTCAAACACAATGAAGCAGAAGTCTACAGTTAAACTTTACATGCAAGAATCTATTTCAACATACTTAACAAAGCATCATGCATAACCGATGAAGTTGCTTAGATTCGAATGCAAAACTTGACCAGTGTGATGATCATCTCTGAAACATATGCTCGCTATCGAGCATACAAGAGTGTTATCATGTATTCATCGACTGATGAAACAGGGTCAAGTTCACGAGAATTCTCTTCGGTGAAAAAAGCTGGTTGTTTAGGTGGAGGCAATGCGCTGTCGCTAACCAACATCAAAACCACTGACAACATAGTTGGCCTGTCTTCTGCATGATGTTGCACACATAGTAACGCAACATGTATCGATCGTAGTACTTCTGGGATGACACAAGATGTGCGTATAGATTCACTGATAAGTTCCATCGACTTGTCTTCTTTATAGAGTCTCCATGCCTACACCATACCAAAATTCATATTTTAGTATTCTAGTAGAGATATTGGATAGTCTAGCAAGTTAACTTACATGTCCAAGAAGGTTATCCCTATGATCTTCATGAGAGAATTCTCTGTTTTTCATCCCACTAACAATCTCCAACACTAGAACGCCGAAGCTAAATACATCTGACTTTATAGAGAAACGCCCGTGTACTGCATACTCAGGAGAAATGTAGCCACTGCACCAACGTTAAACAAATAATACGGAAGATCAGTATTAGAGTTTCTCTTATATTTTCCAATTTATGGGCTAACAGAATCATGTTTTATGGATTCTTACTATGTTCCGACCACTTTCTTTGTCTTATCAGATGTATCATTTCCTACAAACTTTCTAGCAAGGCCGAAGTCGGATATTTTTGGATTCATGTCACTGTCCAGCAAAATATTAGCAGCCTTGAGGTCTCTGTGGATGATTTGGAGGCGGGAATCTTGATGTAGATAAAGAATACCTCGAGCCGTGCCATGTATGATACGAAAGCGTTGAGGCCAATCAAGCATTGAACTTCTTCCTTCATCTGTGGAATGTGAAATTTGGTAAGGTATTCAACAACATTACTACATGAAAGATGAACATGAGGTGGATCAGGAAGAGAGTCGAACCGAAAAGAAATGAGTCTAAGCTTTTGTTAGCCATATACTCATAAATCAACATCATTTCATTGTCATTAATGCAATACCCAAGAAGCTTCACAAGATTCCGATGTTGAAGCTTGGCAATACAAACGGCTTCGTTCTTGAATTCATCAAACCCTTGTTGAGATGTTTCTGACAGTCGCTTTACAGCTACTTCTCTTCCATCCTCCAACACACCCTGAAACATTTGAGGTTGAGCAGAGTTTAAGATCGATAACTTATTAACTTACATATTTCTATACATTTTACAGTACCCTTTTGGTTCAAGATACTGATAAGCATTGCATTCTATCAAAAAAATATCAATAAACTACCTTATAAACTGGACCAAAGCCACCTTCTCCAATCTTATTGGATGAACTGAAGTTATCTGTGGCCGCGGCTACTTTATATAGGCTAAAAAAGGGTAAATCATCAAGATGTTCCATCTGCATACTTGAATTCTTTTTGTCAAGGCCAGATTCCCGGTTTCCTACATAAGGATGTGTTTAAATGCTTTATATTACATTTGCACTCTTATAAACATTCTGTTTCAATTTTAGAAGTAAAAAATGGGTCTTTTTTGTTACCTTGTCCTTTCTTGAGAGGTGTTTTCTTTCTTATTCTATGGGCATAGGCTAGTGCAGAAAGAAGCAGCAGAGCTAACGAAATTGGCAGGATGATGATGAGTACTCCTTGCCTTCTGTTGTAGACCATATAATCTTTCATTAACAAATTATAGTAGTCAGTAAAGATATATATATATATATTTAGTCAATTAAAGCTAATAGTAGAATGACTTGAGAGCTTTTCAATGTTTAGATCAAAAGGTGAATTATTCTTGATTAAACATGTGTACATACCTTTTAACTCAGAGGCTGCCACTCTTACATAAAGATCTTGACCGGTTTCATACTCTCTGATATCCATCAGCGCTTCAAACCATAGCAAACATCCACTTCCGCCTTTTCTGATGTCTAAATTCGTGTAAGCTGTACAAGAGCACTTCCTTCTGCAGGCCACCTCACATTCTGCCAGGGTCATGCTCACATTATACCATGACCGTCCTGTGTCAGGAAGCTTCACTCCTTTAAATTTCTGAAACCCATCCCCAATCCCACAATTAAAAGGCTTTTTGGGTCGACACCCACTTGACCAATCTGATACTTTCCATTGCTTTAGATGTCTTGGTTCAAAACCTTCCATACAACTACAGGGCGGATGCTTAAGGCTGCTACACATTCCATAAGGACCACAGAGTGCAAAACGACCACAACCATCAACTGCCATATCTTGATACACAGCCCACTCTTGGGTTCTCTCCAGCCAATGCATGTGCAATGTCTTGCCGTCCCATGTCAAAAACACCCTTTGAACAACTGTACTTGTAAGTTCGAATTTATGATATATTTCCTTCTCATTAATAACAAACTCTACAGAGTAAAATGGATTCGGTATGTCAGAAGGAAATCCACTAAAGCCTAGACCATTCCATGGGCCAAGTCTTGATAGCATAACTTGACCTCGCCACCCAATTAACTGCGGATATCCATTTGTGTCTACCCGATCACTATACAAACCTATAGAAGGATCATCAGGACTCTTCCAAGATGTCAAATACCTTTCTCTACCCGTTACCAAATCCTTCCCGAATTTTATTCCTGGTAGCAAATTGTCACTTGGGTAATCGAAACTTTGCCAGACGGGATTTTCTTTGGTGCTACTTTCATCCCACAGAACAAGATTTCCGGTATCAAGAAGCTGCACCACCGGATTAAGATTCCTGGCAGATAGTGTGGAATTGGATGACCAGATTACAGCATCGCCACCACCGGTAACCAGCAGGTTTCCCTCTCTACTAACTTTGAACATGCCTGATGTATCAGTAATGGGTGTCTCCCTGTTAGCAACCCATACAACAGTTTGAGTTGATATCTTCTTGTACCATATACCCACGTACCGATTGGTGGATCTTCCAGGACTGAAAAAGCCCAATTCAAACATCTCACCATCAGAAACAATGGTTTCACCATCTTTGATTGCTTGATTTGCAGATAAGTTATGTAGTGAAGCACAATCTGATGATAGCAGCAAGAATAAAAGAGTAAAGAAGAATACGGGTATGGAAGTGCCCTCCATTGATCTGTTCTTGACTGTGCAAGTATACCAAGATGGTGGTAGTTGTATGATTGATATATGAAAAGTCTAGGTCAATGTTTTGGGTTAGTCTTATTCCCACCGTTCTTGAAAGTATCATTGACAAACACACTGTCTCCGACCTACATTCACACGTTCAAATTGCATAATATTAAAAGAAATAGTGATAAACAAGAAACAACAATTTTTATTTTCCAAGTGTTTGTTTATTATAGTATCAAATTTTTAATTTTATCATGTATTCTTCTTATAACATTCTATTTTTGAATTACTATTTTTATTTAGGTATTGTAGTTTAAAAAATCAACTCATTATATTAATAATTGTAACTTATCATCTTGTAAACCGGTTATCCTTGTTATTTCTTTTTGTTATCTGGCATAATAGAATTATATGGCTGACTGTGTGCAATAAAACTTATATTTAAATATATAATAATAAAACACAAAGAAGGTAATATCGTCAAAATCTTTAATGTAATTATAAGAAGGCATATATAGATATCTAAGCATATATTCACTAGCTATGTTTTCTCTTGTTACCTTGGATGAAGTGAAAACACAAACAGCAACCATTTATTTGATTTCGCTTCTTCTCCATGTTCTCCCTCTCCCCCATTTCCGAACCCCCTTTGTCATTTCAAACACATAATACGCTTTTGGCATCGTTAACCATATCTGATGGTACCCTCAAAGCCATCGTTTCAGCTTCTTCAAGTCTCTCTGCTCCAAGAAACAACATTCTTAATCGGCATTACATCAAAGAAAGACCTTTGCTAACACAATTTCATCCTGTTTAGCCAATCCCATTACCAACACATTCCAGGTGACTAAATTTCTCTCAGGCATTTCATCAAACACTTTCCTGACATTCGTGTAAATACCCACATGCGTATCAACCAAAACCGTCTCTGAAACCCAAATACGAAAGTCATGCACTGGAGCAGCGAACCCGACATGGATTAATAGCTGGTGAATTAACACAAGCTTTGATTAAGAAAGCATAATTAAAACTATCACCATAACACAATTTATATCATTGTCGGTGGTTTAGGAGGAAATTAAAGATGAATTATACTTACGTTTGCACCATAGAAAATGAAATACTCCCTCCGTCTATTCTTTTTAAGCGTCTACATTTTTCCATTTGTCCTAAAAAGTCATTTTTTAGAAAAAATAAGTGCATATTTTTTTTTATTCTATCCTTAATTATAAAATAGAAAAATTGATTACTCTCTTTATTATCAAAGACAAAACTATCATTTAATATATTAATAATATAATAATTACACTTTTTTAAAACTATATACCTTTTTTTTTATATTATAGACACTTGTTTTAAGACGAATGAAGTATATTAGTATTATTTTTATTTGGTTTTATAAAGTACAATGATTAATTTCATATCTATATCTAGAAGTTTCTAATTAATAATTTAAGTATATACTAATTATATATTACAAATAATGCATATAATTTTTTTATAGTTTCACCTTTTGACTTTCAATAAAGCTGTACTTTATTCGGTCATACCACAACACCAATCATCCTTTAATATTTTTAATTAATAATCAAAACCTAAAATACCCATTACTATAATAGAATTGATTAACAAATAGATTGCAATTCATGTCATTTTTTTTTTCCTTCGAGCCAAGTCTTGATAGTAAAAACTAGTTGCCTACCAAATATGTGTGGATATTTATTACCTGCCTAACAATTTAATGAATACTAGTATGAGAACCATGTGTTGTGCAATAATATGAGTATTTTGCTCTCGATCTTTTGGTGTAAATCCAATACATTTATGAAGTCTTTTAAATATGTTGGATTTTAAACTGTCATACAATTTTTTTCATCGTTAGCATGTAATTTGAACCATAATTCTTATTTATTCAAATTGTATTAATATGTAAAGACCAAGTATAACTTATATCATCGTTAAATCTTATCTAATAAACCTAGTGAAACTTCAAAATCGTTAAAATTAATGGCTCTCATTGCATTGTGCGGGTACACAACTAGTTATAGGTAACCAAGTGTTGACATTCAAAAATGAAATTTGATATATTATTATAAAAAAAAAATTAGTCGCTCTTTCAAAATTTGGGGGTGTTACATTATTCTACACAAGAAGATATCTGGTATCCAATTTTAGCAACCGATAAATCATACGACATAACCACTTTGTACCTTCTACACCATATCTAGTATCCAATTTTAGTAAGACCTCCCAGAGATAATAAAAACTCATATCTTACACTCACAATGAGAAACGATTGTTTTACCATCTTTAATTGATTGATTTGAATACATGGTATATCGCTATTAGAACATCTCCAACATCGATAAGATTTTTGTATATAAATGTGTAATTTTTGTTGCAATAGAATAATTCATCTTCAACAGTCAACATTGTTTTTTATATATAATTATGTAATTTTTGCTGTAAAAGAATAATTCATATCCAACCATCAACATAACAAAAATAATATATTTTACAATTAATTTATTATAAAATAATATATATGAACAACAGAACACCAAATTTGATGTTGTATTCATTAATAATTGGTAAGCAAAATAAGGGGCTGTTTGTTTGGCTCTTAATGGTTACATTAAGAGTCAACCTCTTAATCGGTAAGAGGTCAAGACTGTTTGGCAAAAAAAAAACAACATCTTAATGGTTACATTAACCTCTTAACCATTTTGCACCTAGACCTTCACTCAACCATTTAGATGTTTATTTTTCCAACTCTGCCCTCTCATCGTCGATTCCAAACATCGCATCCCCCTCCATTCGCCGGTTCTAGTCGCCGGCTTCCCCCTCCCATCGTCGATTCCAGTCGCCGGCCGTCTCCCCCCCCCCACGATCGTCGCCACCCCTACTGCTTCCCGCCGGTCTCTCCTCCTACGCAAGATCCTCGTTCCTCATCCCACTCGATCGTGTTCTCCAGCGTCTTCTCCATTGACTCTGTTGTCTTCTACATCGTCTCCCACTTGATTTCAGGTATTTCCCTTCTGTCTCCTTAGGGCTGTTTGAATGAGGTAATTTCCTTTCTGTCTCCTTAGGGCTGTTTGAATGAGGTAATCGATTTGATCGTTGGTGGATTCAAGTTATGAGCTAATCATTTTGGTATCTGTTGAATCAAGCCATTTTGGTATCTGTTGAATCAAGCCATTTTGGTATCATTTTGGTATCTGTTGAATCAAGCCATTTTGGTATCATTTTGGTATCTGTTGAATCAATTTTGGTATCCTTATTATGATGAGTTGTGCCTGATATTTGGAAAGAGTAGAGGCAATGAGAAGAGGGTTAAAATGATAATTTGTTGTCATTCAGTAAACATTTACCAAACAACCATATTTCATTCAGCACTTAACCATTCTGACCCTCTTAACCATTCTGACCACTTACCATTCTGTACAAAACCATTCAGCAACTGCCAAACAGCCCCTAAGTCTCCGAATATAATGTGTTCATTATTAAGTAAAATACAAGTATAGAATGATTCTTCAAGAAACATTCTTGTCTGCTAAAATTCAATCATGAAACTACCAAACATACGATAAAACTACAAAATTCCTCGTTAATCATTGAAATTTATATATTTCAACTAATAATGGAATTAGAATTAGTAATTGCCCGCCAATTTTGACAATTATGTCGATTTTCTACAACCAAAACCAATTTTCATATGTTGAAATGATATCTTTGATGCATTTTTCATGTCTTTTTTCCAACATGTTCTTGTAAAACGAAAATTTATATGATGCATGTCGATTGACGAATATTTTTGTCTTGATCTACACAAAAAGATGAGATTTCGAAGTTATACAACTATTGACAACTAGGGCATTAACGAACATGGAAAATAGGAAGCTATATGTATGAGTGAGTTACTAACTTTAGATTAAAAATCAAAATGACGATGCTAGAAAATGATTTAGGGGGTGTTTGGTTTGTAGAGTGGAATTCGATGGAATTGGAATTCATCAAATGAATTTGACTTTGAGAGAATGGAATGAAATTTGATGGAAGTTGACCATGTCTTTTGATTGCGTTTGGTTGGACGGAATTAGAATGAAATTCTTAACGGAATTGAAATTTTTTTGTTTTGATCACGGAATTCAACGAGAAAATTACATAGATGACATTTCGAGAAAATCCTTTTTAGGATGGAAAGAACGAGAGAGAGAGAGAGAGAGAGAGAGTGAGGTCGAGCATACCAAATCGAGCAGAGTGAATGAGATCGAACAGTTTTGAATAGGGATGGCAAAAAAAAACCGAAACCAATGGTGAAAACCGAAAACCAAAACTTTCGGGCCGGGTTTAGGGACATCTTATCGGGGATGGGGCGGGATCGGGGACAAATTCAGGGATTTTAACGGGGGTGGGGGCGGGGACGGTGATCATCGGTCCTGCCCGGCCTAATATGTGTGTGTATATATATATATATATATATATATATAATATCATTAAAAGAAAATAGTAACATTAAAATTTTAAAAACTTTTATCCACTTTACTTCAACAACCCAAATAAGACTCACGAAAAAATCTAGTTTATTTGTCTAATTGTGAAATCGTGATTTTAGTTATATGATGTTTGAAGTTCTGTTTAGTTTTATATTGTAATACATTGTTTGTAATTGGTTTGATTATGTTTGAGAGATTTAAGCTTGCATTTTTTTTAAAGTGTAATTTACTTTTAGTTGTGAAAATTAACATATTGTAATTTTTTAAGATCTATTTCGGGTTTCGGTTTCGGGTTCGCTATAACCAACAGTGAACAGGAAAAAGAGGATTTTTACCTTAACGGGTTCCCCAACAGGGATCGGGGAAACCGCGGGGACCGATGGGGATCCCCGATAAGATCCCTGATGGGGATCGGGGCGGTCAAGGAGACAGTTTTAGTTATCGGTTTTGGGGACGGGGATACCAATAACCGGCCCGAACCTGGCTCGTTGCTATTCTTAGTTTTAAACGAGATCGAGCATAGCAGAGCAGAGCAAATCGAGATATAACGTCGATGAATTTGGATGAGGGCTAAGGAATTTGTCGGATTGGAATTTGAAATCAATGGTACATGCGGTGGAATTGTGAAATCGGTGACTTAAGGAATTTGTTGGAATTAAAAGGATTCCTTCACATCTATTCTGTGAACCAAACATGGTAGGTCAAACATCTGGACATTCAAATTCCTTCCGATTCCACCAAATTTCATGAACCAAACACCCCCTTAGTTTACTGCCCAAGAGAAAACTTATTTACTTATTGATTACATGACTTATGGATAGATACGAAGGGACTTACCTATGCGTTTTCTTGATCTAACATAACAATACAAAAGGTGATTACATATGTCGGGAGCCCGTGCGAGAAATGATAAAACGTATAGTTTCACTTCTTAGTTAGACTATTCAATGATCGACAATCACAAAAGGCTAAAAGAAAGATAAGGTGGAGCCTCGTTTGTCAAATAAAATGATGTGATTTTAAATTCCCGTCTAACACAAAGGTTCAAAAAATAAACCACAAGGGTGGTGCATGATTGGTTTGGGCTTGACTCCAAAGGTCAAAAATACCAGGAGGTCTCAGGTTCAAATCCAATGAGGAATAAAAATCTCCTTGTGGCCACGAAAGTTCAAATACGGTGACTACAGGCTATCTGCAAAGCAGGTGGTCGCCCTAAGATTAGTCAACTCACATAACAGATTGGATATCCAAGTTAATAAAAAAAGGTTTCAAAAACAGCGCGCACATTGATTCACGTAACGTTTATAAAAAAAGGGATTGGTTAATTTAATTACTGTGTAAATATAATTTTGGGAAAAGTACAATAAAAACCAATGGACTTTCTTGTTTGGAATGATTAAGTCCTTGGACTTTTTTTTGGAACAAATAAGTTCTTGGACATTCCAAAACATGTTAAATAAGTCTTTGGACAATTTTTTGGAACAAATAAGTCCTTGGACATTCCAAAACATGTTAAATAAGTCCTTGGACAATTTTTTGGAACAAATAAGTCCTTGGACATTCCAAAATATGTTAAATAAGTCCTTGGACAATTTTTGGAACAAATAAGTTCTTGGACATTCCAAAAAATGTTAAATAACTCCTTGGACAATTTTTGGAACAAATAAGTCATT